TTACTTTGTAACCATCCAATCATATGAATAATGTAATATTACTTCGTAACCATCTGATCATGCATTTTAGAATTATGCGAATGAATAATGTAATATTACTTTGTAACCATCTGATCATGCATTTCAGAACTATGAATGAATAATGTAATATTACTTTGTAACCATCTGATCATGCATTTCAGAATTAAGTGAATTAATAATGTAATATTACTTTGTAACCATCTGATCATGCATTTTAGAATTATGTGAATGAATATTGTAATATTACTTTGTAACCATCTGATCATGCATTTTAAAATTATGTGAATAAATATTGTAATATTACTTTGTAACCATCTGATCATGCATTTTAGAATTATGTGAATGAGTATTGTAATATTACTTTGTAACCATCTGATCATGCATTTCAGAATTATGTGAATTAATAATGTAATATTACTTTGTAACCATCTGATCATGCATTTTAGAATTATGTGAATGAATATTGTAATATTACTTTGTAACCATCTGATCATGTATTTTAGAATTATGTGAATGAATAATGTAATATCTTTCTAGTTCTAATAGACAAGATAGATTGGTAGCTTTGCAGTTTACTCTTGAAAGAGATTAACAAAATTGTACATGCAATTTATCCATAGGTGTTGTCAAATTAAAGAAATCTTTTGCATGGTTGTTGTAATCAGCTGACCATATTACACTGCAATAGAGCAGTATTTGGTAGATACTTTTACAAAAGAATGTTTTCTTGGTAGGAATTTGTTTTCTTTTTGAGTACATACACTGTATTTTTCTGAAACATCACCCCTACAAAAAAGTTCGGGTTTTAGCGTTGGTTCAGGACCAGGGTTTTCTTTTGGTGCCAAACACAGATAAATACAATGAAAACAATGAATCAAAATACAATAGTTCACTTACCCAAGAGAAATTTAATTGTATGTTCATCATCGTCGTCATCACTGAAATAGCAATAACAATAACTTTTATTTTTAAACTGATTAACACAACCTTGAATAAAAGGAAGAAATGAAAGTTGAAATGTTTTATAGAAATATGAGGGCGCAATTCTGTGTTATAAATCATTAGTCTTCGCGCATGTGCACTTCATTCGTTTTCCTCCAATTTGTTTACCTAAAGATCTTAACACTAGATACAAATTCAATAATACGGATGGATGGCAAAGATAACAATCAGATTACAGTGGATAGAATTCTGCATAAAAGTTGGTAAAATCTTTAGGTAAACAAATATGGCGGAAAATGAATGAAGTGCACATGCTCTTATAGTTTATAACACAGAATTGCGCTCTCACAGAAACAAAACAAAAAACATTTGAATGGGAAATGAGACATTATAGTATCAAAACTAGTCTTTAGTGGGGGGGCATACATTAACGGAATTCTAGGCTATCATACCATGCAAACAGTATGCCTAGGCTGATAGTATTTATACATGTACAATCTACTGTAAAGAGGTTAATTATTCACTGGGTTTTAATTTGGCTTATTTCGCTGACTGGAAAATGCGACTGTAAAATTTAGCGTAGAACACATTATCTAAATGATAAAACCGTGAATTTAAAACCCATATGAATATGCCTGAAATGGCAAATCAGTGAAATTTAAACCCAGTGAAAATTAGTCATTTTACAGTACTTGCTAATGTCATCTCCTATGGTGGGCTAATGATGCACTTTGACTAATTGTGTTTAACTTTGGTGCAAAGACAAGACACAATCTTTTTATTCAACTGACTGCAGGCAATTTCAAGTGAAAAATTTGTGCTCAAAAAAAAAGCATCATG